CCCTTGAGATGGATTTCAAGTTGCAAAAGTCCTTGGACCTCCTTTTTTACAGTCTGAGGGCCAGAAGAAGTAATAGAAATACACAATATGAAATATTTCTTCTGCTGGCCCTCAGGGCTTCACTCCTATTCACCCCATCAATATCTCATCATGGTCCAATTTTCACTTCCACTCTCTTTCCTGTGTAGTTCCCTTCTTCCCTCTACCCCCATGATTTCTTTCCACTTTCTCCAAAGTGCAAATAAAGCATCCTCAATTAGGTGCTCTGGCTCGTTAACCTTCTTGAATAATGTGGATTAAATCCTGCATATTCTGTTCTTTTTGGCTAATATCCACTTATTAGTGAGTTAATATCATGCATATCCTTTTGGGTCTGAGTTCCTTCACTCAAGATAGTATTTTCTAGTTACATCCATTTGCCTACAAAACTCATAATGTCCTCTTTCTTAATACCTGAATAGTATCCCAAGGTGTAAATGAACCACATTTTCTGTATCCATCCTTCTGTTGTGGGACATCTGGATTGAATCCATCTTCTGACTGTTACAATAACTATGCTGTGAACATAATGTAGCTCATGATCCTGTGACATGATAGGGCTTCTTTTGGATATATGCACAAGACTGGTATAGCTGTGTCTTAAGGTAGATGTATTTCCAACTTTCTGAGGAACCCTCAAATTGATTTCTTGATTAGTTTTTCTAGATCCGAATCCCATAAACAATTTCGAAGTGTTTCTCTTTCTCCACATCCTCCTCAATACATGCTATCACCTGAGTTTTTTTCTTAGCCATACTGATTGGTGTAAGGAGGACTCCCAGGGTTTTTGTGATTTGCATTTCCCTGATAACTAAGGACTTTGAACACTTCTGCAAGTGCTTCTTGGCCATTTCAGACTCCTCTGTTGTAAAGTCTCTGTTTAGCTCTACACCCATTTTTTGATTGGATTTTTGTTTTGTTTTTAGTTGGAGGCTAGCTTCTTGAGTTCCTTATATATTTTTTATATCAATCCTCCCTCAAATGTGGAGTTAGTGAAGATCTTTTCCCAATCTGTAGTTTGCCTATTTGTCCTATTGACTATGTCATTTGCCTTAAAGCTTTTCAATTTCATGATTGTCATGATTTCAATTCTTGATTGTCAGGAATCATAATTGGACAAGATAATAACTAGCATATGATCTTCCTGAGATGGCCTCCTTCAGATCGTTCTATAATCTTTGATAAGTTCACCCTGATTTGGCAATCTTTTAGGAAACTCAATTTAGGAAAGAGTCCTGTTATCAATATGTCACCAGTTAATTGCTCTTAAATAATAACCAGACTTTCTCCTACTGAGAACACATTCCAAGAGGTTGTGAAACATTAACCAAAGGTCATAAAAAGGGGACTATTTATTATAGGTGCTTGGATAGAAGATAAAATATTGACTGCATTTATCTATACCAAACTTCACTAATAAATTTATGGTTTTAATCCTTCAGTGAACCTAAGGAGTTGTGACAGGTAATGGATGCTTAGCCAGATAATTATTCCTAACGGATATGCATGAAAACATTCTCTGTTATAAACTTCTATTTCAATGTATGATTTGTTTTGTGTGTTATAACAGCCTGAGCTGTCCCATGTTCTGGGGCCACATTGTAATGGCCATTTTTTTGTAACAACCTGTTCTATTACTTTGAAATGGCCTGTTCTGCTGCTCCAGTCTGCAGGTCAGAGCCTAGCAAGAGAGAGAGGGGGGACAGAGGAGGGGCAAGAGATGCAAAAGATGGATACAAGACCAAGAATCTGGTCCAGTCTCTTCAAGTCTCCTCTTTATTCTCCTATATTCTCCTCTATTCTCCTTTAGTCTCCTCTATCCTCCTATATTCTCTCCTATATAAAGGAAATCCTGGGTATTTATACCCTTTACCACGTGACTTCCCCTCATGGACAAGCTCAACTGAAGGCACTAAGTTACGTGCCTTGTAGCCATGGATACCAGGTGCACCTTGCAGCTGGGGGCACTAAACAGTGTAACAAGATGTTTATCAGAGTGTGCTCAGCTATTTCTGGTTGTTGAAAACAGGCATATGGCTCGAGATGGCTGTAAAGATGATAGCCGCTTTTGACTAAGAGTCGGCTCTCAACAGTGTGTGTGTATGTTTGTGTGAATTTGCGATAAACTTTGTAACATGTGATAACATATTTTCTTTTTAAGGAGATTAAGATTCCTTTGAAAACAAACTAGAGTTGTTCTATAGAAACACAGCAACAAGAATAGCATCTGTTAGATTCATTGAGATAGTCTCTTGAAGAATAATTGTATCTAGGTGACCTGATCTGCTTTGGAGCTGATTGTAAGCAAGGGTGGACACACAGTATCCTGTGCACTCTGAGTTTCGCTACTCAGCAGCCAATGACAGTTTCTTTGTTAGCAACTTTTGTCTGTTGTATTACAGTGTATTTAGTCATTACTTTCGGAAGCAGGGGAAAACCTCTCACAGTTCAATACTGTTCTAGTTTCATTCTCTTCTTTTTGTGGGTTTTTTACTTGATATTTTATTTATTTACATTTCAAACGTTCTCCCTCTTCCACATCCCCCCATTAATTTCTTATCCCATCTCTCCTCCTCATTCTTTGCTTTTATACCATATAAATTACATGCAAGTATTAAGGTCAGTTCTAGGTTGGGGAACTAGCCCTACAATAGATGCAAATATTCAAGGAACAAGCAAGACAAACCAGAGAGTCAAAGAAAAAGCAAGACAATAAACAGAGCCATGTGATCACTCCCATGATCACTATTTCTAAGGGCTTATCAAGATGACCAAAATATCTGAGCCTACTACTTCCCTGTCCTAGCGCAAAATTATTTTCATGCCTGAAGCCTACTTCTTGGTTCTAGCTTAAGATTTAGATTCCTGCCTGTAATTACTTCTTTGTTCTAGCCTAAGATTTATATTACTGCCTGAAATTACTTATTTGTTCTAGCCTAATGTCAGACTCCTACTAAGAATGTTGGAAAAGCCATAGAGAATTATATTATCCAATATTTATCTAAAAAACACACATAATGCACATATATATGTGAAACATTAAAATGCAGTTTCAAGATATTGTGCCATTTGGAATGATAATGTTCTCCCCAAAAATGACTGATTATATAACAAAACACCAGTATCGTGCATGAGAAATTTTCTTTTAAGTAGTTGGTCAGGAAAGTCTAAGAGACAATACCCCCAAAACAACATCAACTATTGTTGAAATTGTCTCTCAGAAGTTGAAGATAAGATTATGTTGCTGAAGCCACAATGCACTTCAAATACAGAATTTAGAGAAACAAAGCTACTATAACCTGTAAATCTTGTCCGAGTGAAGTGGTTTTCAAAAAAAGAAAAAGATGCTGCTAAATCTGCCCAGAGAGAGGAATAATCAAACCCACAAACTATGCAAGTATCAAGCCTGTGAGCCACAAGAATGACTTGACTAGCAAGACATTCACAGGGGTACAACGGTGGCACTTTTATCTTGATGGTAACAAAGGGTATATAATTGAACCTAAGGCCTACTCAAGAAGAGGGGACATTATGTCTGGTGCTGTTAACATAGACAACCACCTAGAGCTGGAAAAGGCAAAAACCCAAGAGGCTTACTACCATCAGTTCCCTAAACCAGTGTAATTTCCAGTTGTTTTCTAAATACATGTCCTTACACCTGAGGTAAATGTAATTCTCACCCCTTGTCAAAGATGCTTCTTTTTGCAGCATATGGAGACTCTCACAAAGATCCACAATGGGACAAAGTGTAGATTATAATTGACAGTAAGGTACTCAACCCTGTAAGGAGCCGCCATTAGAAGATGGCGCTTGGCACTGATGTTTGAGGTGGAAAACAACTGCATTTTGGTCGTAAACACCTGCTGTGAGCCTGCGTATCTTTCAGATGCAGCTCCTCACCCGCCCAAGCAGTATGTAAATGAAGTTCTGCAAGAAGCACCAATTAGACATTTATACACAGTCATGATAACTATTTAAGCAGCACCCATTTTGGGCCTGGGGTCTTTCGCTTTGCAATCAATGGTGTGTTCCCAATAAAGTGCGTGAGGAAGGATCCTGTTGTTGCGTCATCCTTGCTAGCGAGGCGGGCGTATCACAACCCCAACTGATACATCTGCAATAAATCCTTTCAACCTAACACTCAGGAAAAAAAAATTCACAGAAGATGGTAGAGAAATCCCCTAGTGGCCCAAGATTCCTGTTGATAGAATATGTCTATCTTAGACACTACAGAGAAAATAGACACATGAAATCTTAACAGTATAGCTATACAAACAACCCAGAATAATGGCACTAGAAGGCACACCAAAGAGGCTAGTGTTATTTCTATATGATTTTACCGAAGAAGAAGAAATACTTTATATGAATGACTTCTAAGAGATGGAGAATAAACTGTGTATGGAGATGAAATCCAACATTGATTTTCCATTCTCAACTGGACACATCAGGATACATTACATATAAGCCCAAAGGAATGGACTCAGTAAGTTGAATATATATGTGTGCATTCATAAATGGCAACAAATATTAATGAAGACATCATAAATATGTGACAGAGAGGGAGTGCTTTGAGAGGGAGAAGAAGGGCAGCTAATATAGTATGAGTTTCTCAAAAGAAATCACTTTAAAAAAAAAACTTGCCATGGAAATTTTCTGTGTGATCTCTGTCATTTTTCTGCACATTTAAAAATCATTCTCAAAGCTAAATTGTATTAAAAAAACATTTGAAATTAACCTGCATTTCTATGTTGTATTGCTTCTTACTTAGTTTCTGGTTTGGGGATATGAACTCTTTCTCAGAAATGCTGCAGAATGTTCTTTGTATGAGTTCAAAATTGCTCAATAAAGTTACCTTTGACTGTGGGTTACTGTTTTTTTTTTATTTTATATCAGTAGCTAGTTTCATAATAAACGAGGGAATGTTAATAATTTACTTACCTGCCCTATAAATTTTACGTGTCAGCATTTGCTATAAGCTGAAGAGCACGTACAAAGAGCTATTCATGATGTCAGACTATTGTTGGTTTGAAGGAATACCTTTTCTTGCCATAGGGTTTGAAAAAGAAATGCTGGAAGATATTCGAAATAAGTTTGTGTTGAAAGAAGACGACTTGATGATATTGACTTACCCAAAGTCAGGTAAAGATCATAAGTAAGACTGATTCTAAATAGTATAAAGTAGGTTAGAGCTTTGACCCTCATTCATTTTGGATGATGAGTAGAGTGTTTAACATATTCAAAGTGTAAAATGATTTGTGGTCATGAAGATTTGTGTGTGTGGCACTCAGAGAAAGACCTCTCATCTGACCTATGTGGGCAGAGATGATCGGCTATGGGCCCAGAACAATGATGGTGGACCCGGAGGCAGAATCTGGCATTACTATCTTGCTCTGTGGGGAAGAGATAGAAGAAGAGACAGAGTGATGAGGATAAACAGAATGAATAGCACCAAGAGATAAAGGAATTTATGTGAGGATACTTTGAAGAGAAGAGTGTTAGATAGAATTATGGTGGACCTTGTCCAGGAAGTGGAAGGATTCTGAAAGTCAAGAAACAAAAAAATGATTTTATGGTGGTTTGTGGAATGAATATTTGCTGTGGTGAAGAAGCACTGAACATTTGGTAAGGATTATGCTGCTGATATAGAAAGCACCATGACACAGAAAATCCAAAGGAAGTGGGAATACAGGAAAAAAACAACCAGATTGTAACTCAGAGAAGGAAGCAAGAAAAACATCCACTGACAAATAAGCAAATAAGCACAAATGAAAGTGTGTGTGGTAAATATTCATAAAGAAATTTATTTAACTTAATGAAAGTACTCAGTTATACACTGCAGCATGGGTGTCTCTCAATGGCAGTGAACTACATTAAAGGAGGCAGTGTCAGAGGGCAGGCACTGTGATTACATTGCTGTCAAATATCTTGGATAGTCAAATTCATTCCACCAGAATGTAGAATGATGATGACCCAGGACAGGAGGAGACATTCCATGGGCAGGTTGGTGTTTACTATGTTTAGTGTCCCACTTTTGCAAAATGAATCCTCAAGAATATGCTGAGCGAATATACTTTGTACTTAAGTCATGTAAACATTGTGAACACCACAAGTCTGTATGCTTGAAAATTGGCATCACAGTAAGTTGTATGGATATATATTCTACTTGAGGCTTTTTCACAAGTACTCTTGAAATGAGTGAATGTCACTTTTTATATTCATCCAGGAACAAACTGGCTGGCTGAGACTGTCTGCTTGATTCAAACCAAGGGAGATCCCAAGTGGGTCCAAACTGTGCCCATCTGGGAGCGTACACCCTGGCTAGAAAGTGATCTAGGATATCCTAAATTAATAACTAAGGAAGGACCACGACTCATGAACTCTCATCTTCCTATCCATCTATGCCCCAAGTCTCTCTTCAGTTCCAAGGCCAAGGTCAGTGTCCAGTGGTTGAGATTTTCTTTGACCAAATTCCCTTTGAATTTATTTTATCCTGACAGGTTTTGGAGCTCTTTCAGAAATGTAAAGGTGGGATTTCATTGTCTAGGTGATGCTGATGTTTCCCCATCTCAGACTATATTAGAATACCAGAATGTGGACCATCACACAGTGATCCTGGGGAACTTTAAGTATTAAAGTGAAATATCACACTAAAACATTCAGGAACTACATATATAGGTCAAGCAGAGTTCAAACCCTTGTTTACAGTCGATATTACTTTAAAAGTGTCATCAAAGCCAATGAGCCAGTCTTAATTATAACATATAATTCAAGTCCTGTGGGTGAGTCACCTAAGACACAGTTGCTCACTGTGGAAGTACCTGACTAGGGATCAATGTTCAAAGGCCAGTGGTACACACAGTGTCATGCTGTCTCTAGCTGTCTACTGAGTTCAGTAGCCATAACAATCCCCCATGAAATGGAAAGAGAATCACTAGAAGAAATCAGAGATATCCCAGGTCTGACCACTCATAGCCCCAAGTTAGTAAGAAAGTTCTTTGTGTGTCCCTCCACCATAGAATGTATAAATAGTTTATGTTCTAACTGCAAAGACAAACTTAGAGTAATCTCTCCTTAAAATGTCACAATGAATTTGTGATCATTCACATATTTGCATGTGCGGATATCTGGAGATATCTGGATTTAAAAAACTTTAGGCTGTGGAAACTGAAACCTAAATAAATGAATTCTGGAATTATTGGTACAAAATATAGAGTAGCTTTTTATTAAGAATGATTAAATTTGGGGCTGGAGAGATTAATCCATGGTCAAGAGAGCTAACTTCTCTTCTAGAGATCCTCAGTTCAACTCCCAGCCAACACATGGTGGCTCATGACCACACATAATGGGATGTCTTCTGGTGTGTCTGTAGACAGCAACAGTGTACTCATGTACATAAAATAAATATGTCTTTTCAAAAAGAATAATTCTTAATTTATTTCTTTTATGTTTTGAAATTATAATAATAAAACATAATTATATGTATCATTTCCCCATTCCCCTTTCTCCCTCCAAATTTATGGATATATATATATTGCTCTTTTCTCTCAAATTCATGGTTTCTTTTGCATTAATTCTTGTTGCATACATACATACACACACAAACACATTCCTAAACATATTCTACTGTGTATATATTCATATATAAATATATATTAATGTGTTTCTACAATATATAACATACTACTAAATAAATAAATAATCAATATATTATAAAGAAATTTATATCTTCCTAAATCCTTCAGTACAACCTTCTTAATCAGTCCAATGTTAATTGTATGTATATTTTGTGGGCTGGGCATTTAGTGTTTGATAAACAATTGTGATTGTTTGATCATTACAATTGTTGAATCACTCTGGGTTGTTTTTTTTTTTACACTATCAATTAAGTAAACATTTTGCTGCTTCATTTTTATAAAACAAATAAAATTAGAAAAAGGAAATTATGACTATATATTTTTTCATTCGTGTATGTGTTTTATCCAAATAAAGATAATAAATCTTTTTTTAGAAATCTTTGCATGTTTTACTGACATTTCTTATAAACTATGCCAGTTAAACAGTAAGGAGTGACTATTAACTTTCATCTACATTTTTTTTCATTTAAGGCTATCTATCTCATCAGAAATCCCAGAGATGTTCTTGTTTCTGGTTACTTTTTCTGGAGTACGACAAACCTTGTGAAGATTCCAGAGTCACTGGAGACTTATTTTGAATGGTTCCTCAAAGGCAATGGTGAGTATTCTGTGAAATATGGGTGATGGGGGAAACTCAGAGACATTGTTAATTAATTTATTTATTCATTTATATTATATCCCAATATCCAGCATCCCTCTCCTCTCAGTACCCCCTCCCACAGATCCTTTCCTCATTCCCACCTTCTCTGAAAAGGGGTAGGTGCCCCCAGGGTATCTCCCCTCCATGATACATCAAGTATCTGCAGGACTAGGTACATCCTCTACCACTGAGGCCAAAGCTGCCCAGTAAGGGGAATGGGATCTGTAGACAGAAAGCAAATTCTGTGACAGCTCCAGCTTTAGTTGTTGGGGGACCTTCTTGAAGACAAAGCTGCACATCTGCTACATATGTGAAGCGGCCATATATCTAGCTGATGATAGCTTTTTGTTGGTGGATCAGTCTCTGAGAATACCCAAAGATGCGGGTTAGTTGACTCTGTTGATTTCCTCTGGAGTTCCTATCCTCTTGGGCCCCTCAATTCTTTCCTCAACTCTTCCACAAGTCTCCTAGAGCTCTACCTAATATTAGGCTGTAAATTTGTGCATCTGTTTTAGTCAGCTGCTGGATATAGACTCTCAGAGTATAGTTATTTTAGGCTCTTGTCTGCAAGCATATCAGAGTATCAATAATAGTGTCTAAGATTTTTTTCTTGCTCGTGATGTGTACCTCAATTTTGTCTAGTAATTGATTGCCCATTCTCTCAGTCTCTGCTCCATCTTTTTCCCTCCAGTTCATGTAGGCAGGACACTCCATGGCCAAATGCTTTTTGAATTTCTTGCTGTCATTATCCTTCCACTGGGAGTACTACCTAGCAACAGGAGGTGGCATTGTAAGCTCCATAACTCCTACTGTGAAGAGACTCAGACAGAGTCACCACCATAGAGTCCCTGGAGTCTCCCCGTGCCAGATCTCAGAGACTATTTTGTTGGCCTGGAACTCTCTATATAGTCCAGGATGACTTTGAAGCTTGGCTCCTCCTTCTGCTACTTTTTGAATTCTAGGACTACAAACACCTACTGTGTACATTATTTAATTGATTCTGAGGCTAAAACCCACAATTTCATGTGGGTTACCTAACTTGTCTAAATCTCTAGCCATTGAGGAACTTTTGTAGGCTCCATTTTGTGCCTCTACATTCAACCAGTCTGTGGGCCAAAGGCTCATCAACATTTCAAACCTGATTGTGAAGTCTTTCTGTTCTCACACACCACTGAAGAACAGGAAACAGCCACAGCTTGTGCCATGATGTACAATTTCAGCACCATTTGGAATATCTTGTCTTTCCAACTTAATGTAGATGCATCAGTCTTCATTTTAGTAAGACATGTCCCACATAGGCCCCCACATTTGAATACTTGTTTCCCAGTTGGTGGTGCTTTTCCAGAATGTTTATGAGACACAGCCAAGTTGGAGGAAGTATTCAATTCATGGAGGGCTTTGAGAGATTAAACTCTTAAGCACCTTCCAGTGTACTCCCTCTGCTTTCTGCTTGTAGTAAAGGAAATGAAATTTCAGCTTCCTGTTTCTATAGCTTTTCCTGCCATGGACAAGTTCTCTCTTCCTTAAGTTGTGTTTTTCATGTTGTTGTTTTAGCACAGCAACAGAAAAATAACAAATGCTATTTTCTTCCTACCATGCTTCTCATTTGTGGATTTTCTTAGTCTTTTTTGTAATTTCTTCCTATACACCAAGCAGAGAGGGGCCACCCAGAACCTCCTCTGACTGGCGATCTGAATTCTTGCTTAGGCTGCGAGGCTAAGTTCTGCAAGGGAATATAAATAAAAATTAAAAATATCTCTCTGTGTTCCCTGACAGACTAGCCTGACTGCATAGGGGTTGATGTCAAAAGTATCCCCTCTCCAGAAAAAAGACATCGTGATGTGTATGGCCCTCATGCCTCACTGGACAACAACAAGGGGACTGAAGCCACTACAAGGTCCCCTTCAAATATTGGAGGTCAGGGCTCTATCCCCGCCTTCTCAAGTTTAGAATTGCCACAACCCTTCTATACTTAGAGAGGGGAGGAGATATCAGGGGCAGCCCTGCCTATACACTGAAGGCCTAAAATCAGCCATAGGCCTAAAATCAACAATAGGCCTGTCATACATGTATACAAACACCAAGTCTTGGGTCTCAGTGGAAAAACATTGAAACAGATGGCTATAAGCTAATGTAAACAGGCAGCCTTTATGGAAATCTACAAGCCTGAATAGTCATCGACCTTGTAAATAGGTAACCTGGGCACATAATACCAACTTAGATAAGGACAAGCAAGTCATAGGCAGAGTCATAGTGACTTGTCCCCAGAACCTTCACCCACCCAATACCCGGTTCTGATGATGTCTGTATTCCCCCTGATCACCCACACTCCCGTGCCATTCCCTTCCCCACATCCTGCCTTTCTGTGTTTGTAACCCCTGTGTGAATGAATTATGATTTGAGAAAAATAAATTTAAAAATTTTAAAAATGTTATTAAAATTATTAAATTTTTATAAAGAAACTTCAAATAAATAAAATACACCAAAACTAATGATACTCAAATTCTATGTAACTTAGTGAATTTATATAGAGTTAGAATTCATATTCAAAAAGAAGCTGTGAAGCTTCACATTAAGTGTTATACTTTCATCATTGCCTCAATTCACTCAATTATACACCATCAAAACTAACACTCTATGACAGACCTAGAATTAAAACAATTAGCCATATATTATCTTTCAATACTTTTGCTAATTACCTGCATTTACTCCTTTCTCATCCCTTTATATTTAGATTTTCTTTTCTTTTCCCAAGGCTTCACACACATTTGGTCTTTTTTTATATTTTTATTTCTATTTTTTTTCACAATGGCCAATCCACCTGGAGTAAGATGAGCTCTCAAAGTAGATTTGCATCATTTACTTGATGGCTAATAATGTTGAAGAGTTTAAAAATTGGTTATGAGACATTTGTTTTTCTCTTTTTGGCAGAACTCTTGGGTTCCACGACACAGGTTTTGTTCCAATTGTTTCTTTTCTTGACGTTGAATATTTTTAAAATTCATTGTAGACTCTACAAACACATTTCCAAGAAACAGGTAACTGGCAAAGGACTTCACCCATTCTGTAGCCTGCATCTTCACATGACTAATGAGTTCCATTGTTTCATAAGAACCTGTGGGGAAAATTTTAGGAGGCCACCACAGCCATGGTGGCCCCAGAGAGGCTTCCACAGCTGTGGTGGGTCCCACATTCGGGAGGAATCCTATGGTTCCAGCGGCCTGGAGGCCTTGGCATCGGCAGGCCCCAATAACACGAGGAAGTCCTTGGTTCCAAAAAAGTTTATTGTCATGGTGGATGATAGATGGATCTAGGCGTACCCCCCAAAAACTCAGGGCAGTCCTCAGCTATATAGGGAAGGAGAAAGGGGGAGGATTGGGGGAGGATCTGGGGGAGGCATGTTTAATTTGCTCTGCCCTCTGGCCTTCATTAGTATGTAAATCTTTAGGGCCTGAGATCTATAGCCTGGCCTATGTGACAGAACAATGTAATTCTATGGAGACCATGAATGCTTTTCAGGATCCTGGGTTCTGGGGGGTGCCAAACTCCTGCCGGTTCTCACACAGAATCCCACCCAGAGTCTGCAGAGTCTCGTGGTTCTAGGCACCTGCTCAACCATGACCCAGGATACCTTTACGCAGTCCCACAAGAACCTTTTAATTTAGCAAGGTTATACTTGTGTGTTTTTGTCCTTGATTTCAGAGTCCTATTATGGGATGAGTCTTATTTAGGATGTCCTTACCTGTGCCTCTATACTACTGTATTCTTTAACAGTTTCATAGTTTTTGAGGCTTCTGTTGAGGTTCTTGATCCACTTGTGATTGGTGTGTGTGTGTGTGTGTGTGTGTGTGTGTGTGTGTGTGTGTGTGTGTCTGTCTGTCTGTCTGTCTGTCTTTCTGTGTCTATATGTTTGCAGAATGTGGGATTAAGATGTAAACTCACTCTACAACACATAGCATTATAATTTCCAAAATACCATTTACTGAAGATCTTATCTTTCCCAAATGTATAGTTTTGTTATTTTGTCAAGTATAAGAAGCCTACATTTATATGAACATATGTCTTGGTTTTCTATTCCACTTATCTCTATGTCTGTTTTTGTAACTGTGCTATGCTGTTTTTAATAACTGTATATCTGTAGCATACCTTAAAATAAGGAACTTTTGTCCAAAACTGGTTTGACTATCTGGGGGATTTTTCTTTGCTTTCATATGAATTTATTATTAAATTTGTTATTTAAACATTTCATACATGGATAGATTACATTCTGATTATTGAAATGCTTCACCCCCTCTAATATCCCTCAGTCCTTATTAACCTCCATTTTCTATAGTTATCTTTTAAATCATTCATACCTCTTTATTTGTTACCCATCTGTATAACCATGATCAGAATCATCTGTGAGATTGTGGGGTGGAACTACCTATTGAAAATCTAGTAGGGATGTCAGTAAGTACACAAATGAAGACAGTTGTATACCAGAATCCTGTCATCCTGAATCCTTCAATATCTAGCATTTCAACAGGGATTATTGACCATGAATCATTTCCCAAACCTGTGAGTCACCATTGATGAATGCCAGTTTCAGATGATTTTACTTGATGAATTTACTCTGCCGTGCTCACAAGCCAGCATTTGATAGCACTTCTCTCTTTATCCTTCAGCTCCTACATTATCTCCACTCTCTCTTCTGCAATAATCTCTGAGGATTAGAGGTGATGTTATAATGTATCATTTAGGAATGTGCCTCTAACCATTTTGTATGAATTTTAAGATTTTTTAATTTTGTGGGTGACATTAAAATTTTGATTGGGATTGTGTTGGAACTGTACATTGGTTTTGATTGGGTGGCCATTCTTTTTTAAAATTAGTTCTCCTAGTCTCTGAGCAGGAGAAGATTTTCCAACTCTTAATGTCTGACTCACCCTGTTGAGGATTTTATTGTAGAGGGTATATCACCTCCTTCTTATATTAATTAGTTTTCTATTGTTGTGATAAACACAATGAGCAAGGCAACATATAAAAGGAATGCTTTGTTTGGGGCTTATGGTTCTAGATTTATATGTGTGAATCATTACTATGTCTAGAAGGATGACACTACCCAAGTAGGCACACTAGTGGAGGAGTAGTTGAGATCTCACACATTAATTCATAACCAGGAAGCAGAGAGATCCTTCAAAATTGTGCCACTCTTGTGGAACCTTAAATCTAACTTCCAGTGACACATTTCCTCCAGCAAGTTGACAACTCTGAATCTTCCCAAAACATTCAACAATTGGGGACCAAGTATTCAAATGGCTGAAATTTACAGTGGATATCTTTTTCAAACAAGCAAACTGACCTATGCTTATTCTAGGGTATTTTCTTGAGGCAACTGTAAACAGACTTATTTCTCTGATTTGTATCTCAATTCTTCGTTAGTAGATAGGAAAGATATTAAGGTATGTAAGTTAATTTTATATCTTGTTCCTTTGATAAGAGTCTTTATCAGATCCGAGTATTTTCTAGTAAATTCTTTCAGGACAGTTATTGCTAGAATTGTATCATCTAAAATTAAATGTATTTTGACATGTACATATTACATATTAGAAATTACATGTTACATATCACATATCATATATCTTATATCATATATTATATATCCCATCCTCTTTGTGTCTATGTGTAGTTGGGGAGTTCATGTATGACCAAATATGCAACAGGAGATGGAAGGACAACTGCTACCATGTGAATTTAGCATATCAGGTTTAACTGTGAACACCCTTTCTTTCCTCTTGAGCCATTTCACTAACCTTTGATGTGTTCCTGAATTTAGTTAGAAAGTATTTAATTGAGAAGTTTTTAGTCAATGTTCATCATAGATTTCAGTCTACAATTTTCTTTTTTATTGAATATTTGACTGATTTTGTATCAAGGTAATGCTTTAGAAAAATACTTTGGTTGTTTGCCTTTTTTCCATATTTTTTCTCCTATGATCACTGTTTCTTTTTATTTTTTTTTTAATTTGTTTATTTGAAACAGGATTTCTCTGTATAACCTTGGCTGTCATTGAACTCACTCTGAAGACCAGGCTGGCCTCAAACTCAGCAATCTGCCTGCCACTGTCTCCCAAGTGCTGGGATCAAAGATATGCACCACCACTGCCCAACATTTTCCTTCTTTTATGGAATAGTTTGAGAACCTTGTTCTCTGAATGAAAGTTTGGAAAAAATCACCTGAGATTGAACATTTTTTGTTAGAGCTTATGTTAATGTTTGAAAACTCATTGCTTATTATAAGCCAGTCTAGTTTTGAGGTTTATTTTGTTTACTTGTAGAAGTATTTTCCTTGCATATACGTGTGTTTGCTTCTGTTGTCTGATGACTAGGTTTTAATAGGGCATTGTCAACTATCAGGTGGAAACTGGAAACTGAGTCTTTGTGCTGTATAACAGTGTATGTTTTTAGCTGCTGAGCCTTCTCTCCATCCATACCTGCTTAACTGTTTTAAATGTAATACTAATTTCATTTTGATAGTTTTATATATGGAAAAATCATCCATATCTTTTAGGTTTTCAAGTTTTCTGGTATATAATTTTTAAGGTAAACTCTAAACATTTTCTGAATATCAGCTGTGCTGTCATAATGAATGACTCCACATCTGTGTTTTACTGTGTTAGAGCTGACATTTGCTATTTTTTTGGTTAGTTTAGATAAGAATTGATCAATATTTATATTTTGAAGAAATGAACTCTGTTGCATCACCTGTCTATATTTGTTTTCTTGTTATTGCTGTTCCCTTTTTCTCTAATTTCTACACTGATGTCACTGAAATCTTTCCAGCTATGAAATTTGGTGTTTTCTTTGCTCTTTTTCCAAATTCGCAAGGGGAAACATTGATAAAACTATTATAAATCTCTTTGATTTTTTAATATAGGTACTTTGAGCTTTGAATGTTTCTCTTAGGGCTGTTTTAAATTTACCCCACAGGCTAGAGGATGTTTTGTTTTCATCCTCATTTGATTGTAGGGGTCATTTGTTGTTGACTTCTAATTCAGGTGTGAGTTGTTAAATCTCCATAAGTTTGTTGGCATTCTCGAGTTTCTCTTTTCATTTATTTGTAGTCATTTAATTATAGTCAAGTAGATTATAAGAAATTATTTCAATGTATATTAGTTAAGACTTCCTTTTTGAACTAATATCTATCTACATGAGTGATAGTTTCATAGGCTTCTGAGAAC